TCTAAGTGATGTTTTATGTATTCATCATAATCATCCTTGTCAATGTCCACCGAGATATTCCTGTCGTCCAAAAGAGACGTGGGTTCTCTTCCAAACATCAGGAAAAAGGGAGAATATCCTGTGGTTTCCTGAATTGTAGTATTGTAAGCGTGAGTGATGAATGGGAGTATTTCGTCCCAATTCTTCTGATCAGTGTTCACATACATACTGAGCATATTGATCAATGTTCTATTTAACCGCTCTGTCAATCCATTAGTCTGGGGATGATAGCTCGTTGTGAAGCAATGTTTAATCTTGCACGTTTTCATCACCTCTTTCATTAAATTACTGGTAAATTGAGAGCCTCTGTCACTAATAAGATATTGTGGGGCTCCGTGCCGGAGAAAAATATCCTCTACTAGAAATTTTGAAACTTCTTTCACTGTTGCTTCCGAGACTGCTTTTGTTTCTGCATATCTAGTGTAGTAGTCCGTCAGCACGATTATCCATTTTTTCCTGTTTTTCGTAGATGGCAATGGACCAACAAAGTCAATTCCAATTCTTTCGAAAGGAAAGTTGGCTGGGGGAATGGGCTGTAGTAGCCCAGAAGGTAATTGGTTTGAGCCTTTTCTACTTTGGCAAAGATGACACGTCTTAACGAACTCTGAGACATCCTTTAGCATGGATGGCCAAAAGTATTTACTCTTTATTCGGTACATGGTTCTGGCGACACCCAGATGGCCATTCGACATATGATTGTGATATTCTTTCATAATTTCTCTCTTTTTATTCTCTGGAACTACAAGCAACCACGCCCTGCCTTCAGGGTTCGGGTTTTTCTTAAAGAGGCATCCATCTTCTACTTTAAAGTTTTGCGCAATTGATCGCCTGCTTCCATTAAGGTTTTTCTTAACACTTTCGATAAACTTATCCTCTTCGTCTGTTATTTGATTTAAAAATAGCCTTTCAAAATCCTCATCCCAATCAGTTTCTGGTAAGGGTCCCCTAGATAAGCCATCGGCGTCCAGATGTTTCTTTCCTGATTTATGTATTATATCGAAGTCATATTCTTGAATTTTCAATGCCCATCTTGCCAATCGACCTGTTGGATCCTTCAAGTTTTTGAGCCAGCATAAGGCGTGGTGGTCTGTTACTATTTTAAAGTGTCTTCCATAAAGGTAGGGTCGTAATTTTGACATTGACCAGACAACGGCCAGACATTCTTTTTCAGTGGTTGAATAATTTTGCTCCGCTTTACTTAGGGTACGACTCAAATATGAGATCACCTTCTCTTCACCACCGATTCTTGGACAAGTGTTGCACCTATGCCGATGTTGGACGCATCAGTATGAACATAAGTAGGTGCATTTGGATTGAAGTGACCTAAAATTGGTGGACTTAATAGTGCTGTTTTTAGGGTTTGAAACGCTTCCTCTTGTCTTTCTGTCCAGATAAATGATACACTTTTTTTTATAAGGTTGGTCAAAGGGTCAGCAATTTTTGAGAAGTCTTTGATAAATTTTCTATAATATGAACACATTCCCAAAAAGGATTGTACTTCTTTGACCTTTTTGGGCCGAGGGAAATTTCTGACAGCTTTGATGTTATGTTCCGCGGGTTTTATACCATGTTTGCTCGTTATATAGCCGAGAATCTCCAATTCTTCAAAAGCAAATCGGCATTTTTTGTCGTTTAACCTTAAATTAGATTCACGAAAACATCTAAAAACAGCTTCAAGTCTTTTGAGGTGCGTTGGAAAATCCGGGCTATATATGATAACATCATCCAGATAACACAAACAAATTTGCCATCTCAGATTTCCAAGCATATTCTCCATATTTCTCTCAAAGGTAGCAGGCGCGTTACAAAGTCCAAAAGGCATCACGTTGAATTCATATAATCCATGTGCTGTAGTGAAAGCTGTTTTCTCTTTGTCTCTTTCTTCGACTTCAACTTGCCAATATCCAGATCTGAGGTCTATTGCTGAGAAGTGTGTAGATCCTTGGAGAGTATCCATAACTTCGTCTATTCTAGGGATCGGATAGACATCTTTTACTGTCACATTATTCAGTTTTCTGTAGTCCACACAAAATCTGTATTTACCATCTCGCTTCTTGACCAATATTACTGGAAAAGACCAGGGGCTAGAAGATGGCCTAATTATGCCTTCTGTAAGCATCTCGTCAATTTGCTCTTTTATAATATCTCGTTCTTTAGCACTTACCCGGTAAGGCTTGTGTTTAATTGGCTTCGCGTCTTCTGTGTCTATCCGATGTTTTGCCAAATTGGTTCTCCCTAATCTCGACGAAAAAAGATCTCCATACCTTTCTAAAACTTGTTTTAACTCCTTCTGTTCCTTTGGTGAAAGATTTTCGTTTATTTGGAATCTAGGTTCTTTGTTCTCTTCTACCTCTCTTTCTCGACTCACATTTATTTTCGCTGGACTACTTCCAAAAGCCAATGTTTGGTTTTTCATTACTTTTAACGGTCGAGGATACGGATTAGTTATCCATATGTGTGTTTCCCTATTTATAACATTGATCAAGCTTCTTGCTAGACGAAGTCCATTTGTTTGAAACATTTTGCTGCTCTCCTCGATAATATATTCTCCATCCTCTGTTTCTACCAATGCCTTGATCAATTTCATGGAACATTCCGGTACAATGGAATCCTTGGCACTCTTTATTTTCAACATTTCAAAATTGATTTCGTCATGATTATTCGTCAAATCGTATTTGATAGTTTCTTGCTTACAATCTATTTTTGCGTTCATTTTCTTAAGGAAATCTCTCCCAAGAATTAATGTCCGTAAATGCGTTTTCAATATCACAAAGTTGTGTGATAATGTTTCGTCATCAATTTTTATATTTAAAAATATACTTCCTACCATGTCCAATTTTTTTCCATCGGGTCCTGCACACATTTTTGCGAGTTTACTTATACCATGGCCTGTATCGAGGGCCGTTCTGAGGTCGACCACTGAGAGGTCAGCACCTGTATCAACCAAAGCTTCAAAAGTCCCTATCTTGTCCACATTAATTTTTAATTTGTATTTAGGGTCCAACTTCTTGATTCCGTTTATGGTCGACTTGCTTTGATTGACAGATTCAGGCGCGACGCTTAGTTTAAATCTTCCAACACGGAATATCTATTCCGGGTAGGAATATTTGTCTGTGTGCTATGACATACATCAGCATAAAGCCGAGGTCCTGATTTCTCTGATATTTCATTCATTTGGCATTTTTCTTCGACCTTCTCTTGGGTATCTGCTGGATCCTCTTCTAAGATTCTTATAAACTTGACCCTACAATAACGGGCCACGTGCCCTGGCTTGTTACATTTAAAGCAGATTGGTCTCCCGTCTTCTGTCCTATTCCTAATTGAATTTGGATTCTTATTGTATGTTTTACTTGGGTAGACCGGTTTTGGCTCAGGATTAGGAGTGTAAGATCGTCTAGGGGCAGATACCTGGGGCAGAGGTTTGTCCTGGTAGTACCTCGGAGTGGGGGCCTGGGGCTTGGAGGTGTTCTGGTAGTACCTCGGAGCGGGGGCCTGGGGCTTGGAGGTGTTCTGATATGGTCTTCTGAACGACGTAGCATTCTTCCATTGCTCTTGATGATGGGGACGAGGAGAGCGTGGTCCATTATATAGAGCTTTTGATTTTTCTGCACGTTCTTGGTAATTCTTTTCGAACAAATCCAGCTTCTTACAAATTTCTAGGAGTTCATTGGTATTTTTAGGAGGGTTTAGGTGAATGGCAAAAGAGTATTCTTTCTTTAACCCTCCAATAACCCAGTTTATTTTAGTCTTTTCTTCCATTTGGGGGTCGACCTTGTTGCACAGTACAAGGATATCCTCTGCGAACCTGATTGCAGGTTCATTCCACTGTTGCATCCTGTTTAGTTTCATCTTAATTTCTTCTTTGTTGGCGTCTGAGGCAAAATCCTCAATTAGGCGGCTCTTGAAATTTTCCCAGCTGGTGAAACTTATCTTGTGTAGGTTCAGCCAGGTTTTGGCGCTACCAATCATATTCATGGCAGCATAACGAGAGATAATGTAGTCTGCCCAATGGTACAGGAAGCCAATTTCTTCAAGAGATTCAATCCATGGGCGAGGGTCTTCCATTCCATCATACTTGGGGATGTCGATGTTGGGATTCAGGACAACTGGGTCGGAACTAGCATCTCTACCAATTGTTGCACCAGGTTGCGGCTTGGCAGACTCTTCAGCCTTGATTCTCTCCTGTGCTGGGTCTTGCATTTTACCAGAGCGTGTTTCAACCATCCTACAAATTTATATAAGGGAATAATGAGATAAGTCTACTTTAAGTAACCTCCAGAATGATTTATTTATTTTCTCACATCAAAGAGAGCAGTGAAGTCACAGTGTACCTAAATACAAATGATGATAATCTAATCTGTTTTAAATAAATATCATAGAATATTTTATATAAAAATAAATAAATATATAATTTAAATTTCAAATATATTAAAAATAATATAAGAAATACGCCATTAATCATGATGTAACAATATAAAGCCCTGGAGGGAGAGGGGCCCCCCATCTGGACTGGGCGTTAGCTTTTTCCTCCCCTCTGGCCTGCAGATCACCGCTCTTTGGATCTTTATTTTGACGTCACCATTTTTAGTTTAAATACAAATAGGGGTTTACAGATTATATTAATAAAGATATAGCATATATACAAAATATAGGGGTGGTAGTAAATAGGAACAGTGTACATTTTAATAGAAGGGAGATATGTGAAATATACTGAAAGTGTCATTATTAAGCAGTTTAAAATATACTATTTATATAATAAGTTAGAATAAATTGTGACTTACATGGACAGCCAAACCTGCAATGATTCTGTAAAATGACGTTTAACAAATTTTACCGCAAATGATTCTTTTGAACGAAAATTCGGGAATTTATTTTAAGCAAAAAATAACGACTATTTCTTCCCTTAGGGATGAAGTATGAAAGGATGAATTGTGAAGAGTAATGATGAACTGAAAAATAAGTGTCCAGGGATGGGAAACGAACCCACAGTGTTCCGCTTACCGGGCAGATGCCATGTCAACTTGGCTACCCTGGGGACATATTTTTCCGTTTGTAAATCTCTCTATATATAAAAATGAATGCTTGTTTGTCTGTCTGTATGTCCGATATACAAATTCGCAGTAGTTCACTAATTCAAACATAGGTAAATTTCCATACATAGGTAAAAAATACGGGGAAGACGATAGGCTATTTTAAAAAATATATAAATCAATTATTGACACTATATATTTTTATTCAGAAAATGATGATGACGATATTGCTGTATCATGTTTGATTATCAGCTACAAAATTATATCGGGAAAATATTAATATTAATATTTAATATTGTAATATATAAAAATGAATGTTTGTATGTCTGTCTGTATGTCCGGTATACAAATTCGCAGTAGTTCACTAATTCAAACCAAAATTTCCATACATAGGTAAAAAAATACGGGGAAGACGATAGGCTATTTAAAAAATATATATAAATCAATTATTAAAACTATATATTTTATTCAGAAAATGATGATGACGATATTGCTGTATCATGTTTGATTATAAGATACAAAATTATATCGGGAAAAATTCCAAAAAGCAGAGACCACGGGTAAAACCAGTTCATTATTTTGTACGCAGGAACAAAATTCTAACAGAAAAACATTCATTCGAGCAGAAAAAAAAAGCTAGATCATCTTTCTATAAAAATATCGCTTCTCAGACACAAAGTTTGGAGCGGGACGTTTCACAAGAGTGACATCCACGGCGCCAATTTATAATTGTAACGAATAGTATTTGAATAAAAACTTTTAATCGGGTAAAACCCAGGCGTTGCCCGGGTCATTCGGCTAGTATTATATAAAGTTAATTTATAATAAAATATAATGCGGCTTATGATTGTAAAACGACGTTCGACAAATTTTACCGTAAATGATTCTTTTGAATGAAAAATCGTAATTTATTTTAAGGAGAAATAACGATTATTTCTATCCTTAAGGATGAAGTATGAAAGAATGAATTGTGAAGAGAAATGATGAGCGGAAAAATAAAATTGTTCAGGGATGGGAATATTTTTCCGTTTCTCATTACTCTTCACAATTCATCCTTTCATACTTCATCCCTAAGGATAGAAATAGTCGTTATTTCTCCTTAAAATAAATTACGATTTTTCGTCCAAAAGAATCATTTACGGTAAAATTTGTCAAACGTCGTTTTACAATCATAAGCTGCATTATATTTTATTATAAAAAATGAATCTGTAGTTTAACAAACATACTCTCTAGAGAGGGAATTTAATTTTTTTAACAGATTACTCACCGCTTGTGTTTTATATTTTCATATTAAGAATATTGTTTCATGAGTGAGAGGTGTATATACATGTGTATAGTCTTGGTCAGCTCTGTGTTTTAAGATCAAGTTGAACCTATTACAAGGTGTTTTTATATGCTAAATTACGTCTTCTTTCAAAACTTTAAAATGCCCTCTTTTAAAAAAAATGTTTTAGTTAGTAAAGTCATACTAAGAATATAATGGTTGCTATGTAGACGCGTGTTACCGTATAAATGAGTAAAGACTGAGTAGATACAGGTAACACATTGTTTTATTTTCATAAATTACATCCTAACACATGTGGATTCCTGAAACGTCCAACAGGTAAGGTCGTGAGGTAGGAGTCTGGTAATGATGTCTGGATCTAGCCGTGCTTGAAGTACACGTGGTGGTGTCCATGGTCTCCGCCAATGTTGACACTGTATCCATGGTGCTTCCCATCGTCCCCATGATGGTGGTGGTGGTCGCCCTCGGAGGCGTAGCCATTATGGTCGTCATAGACGCCGTGGTGATGGTCTCCGCCCCCATAATGATGATGATCATCTCCTCCGCCGTAATGATGGTCCCCACCGTCATATCCTCCATGATAATGATCATCCCCACCGCCATAACCTCCGTGATGATGATCATCTCCTCCGCCGTGATGATGATCATCTCCTCCACCGTAATGATGATGGTCCCCACCGCCATATCCTCCATGATTATGATCATCCCCACCGCCATATCCTCCGTGATGATGATGGTCCCCACCGCCATAACCTCCGTGATGATGATCATCTCCTCCATCATGATGGCCTCCATATCCACCTCCATCGCCGCCGCTGCTGAAGCCAGAGCTGTGGTGCTTGCCTCCACCGTATTTCTTACCGTGAGATGAACCATCCTTGTAATCTGATCCATAGCCTCCCTTCTTGTGATGGGATCCTCCGTGCTTGTGCTTGGAGCCGTCAAAGTGATCCTTGTGGTATTTGCCCCCGTGCTTCTTGTGGGAATCGTCGCTGGTGTGATGCTTGCCACCCTTTTTCCATCCGCTGCCATGATGGCTGGAGTAGCCGTTCTTGCCGTGTTTCTCGTAATCCTCGCCGTGCTTCTTTGCGTGCTTATAATGCTTGTGGTTGTCATCCTTCATGTACTTGCCTCCATCCTTGTCATAGTAATCTTCATGGTCGGCGTGCTTCTTCTTGTAGTCGCTATCCTTGAACTCATCGTTGTAGGTCTTCTGATCGCCATATTCTTCCTTGTGGTAAAGATTCTTAAAGCCCTTATTTTTGTGTTCTTTGTTCTTGTAGTATTCTCCCCCAGCCTTTGCAGATTTACTTCCTTTGGCTCCATGCTTGTCATGACCGAAGGCCCCATGTTCTGCTCCACCACTACCGTGGTTCAGTCCCTCCTGTTTCATGTGGTGCTTGCCGAATTCTTCTCCACCCTTCTTGAAGCTGCTGTCACCGCCGGAGGAGTGGTGGGAAGAGTAGCCATCTGAGCCATGTTTCTTGCCCGACCCATAGGAGCCATAGGAGTCCCCGTGGGAGGAATGGCCCTTGGAGTCAGAGTCATCCTTGTAGTCGGAGTATCCGCCGGAGTGGTGGCCGTGTTTGTGGCCGCTGTGGTCGTCGTGGCCGTGGTGCGAGGAGTGGTGGTCGTCTCCTCCCTTCTCGAAGTGGTGCCCGTGGTGGTGGGATTCCAGCGCCAGCAATGTCTCCCCTAGCTTCTTGGAGCCGTCGGCGGTGGCAAAAGCCGCAACCAGGGCGAGAACAAGCTGCACATCACCACATCCTTCTCAACACATTGTCTTCTCTCGTCGTTAATATTTCTGAGCATATGTTCTTTCTTTATTTGTTTTTGTTATTTAGATGATGTAATCATTTTTAGTTCACATTTTACAACGCACCTCAAAAGACTCGACTCGAAGTTGTGTTCAGATGCTTTTGCGAAATCAACACAAAATTGAACCATAATAAATGCCAATTTGCTTTTGAAGGACCGAGGATTCTCGACAATGTAACGAGCAAGCAGGGGATATAGCCAATCGAATCAAAATCAAATCTGTTAGGGATTTTCCTTAGCCTAAAAAAGTCAAAGAAGTTCAATCATTGTTGGTTGTATTTGAGGGTGCTCTTATCATAGAAAAATCATCAAAGATTTTTCGGATATTTCTTACCCTTTGAACAGTCTAATTAGAAAGAATATACAATTTACCTGGACAGAAAATCAAGAGAAAGCATTAATAAATCCACCAATTTTGGGCCACTTTGATCCAAATGCACCTACTTACATTCACACGGATGCATCTAACATCGGCCTAGGTGCAACCCTAGTTCAAAATATAGGTGGGGAGAGAAGGTGGTCTCATATTTAGAGTAAAACCCTAAGAAAACCTGAACAGAACTACTCAACTACTAAAAAAGAATGCCTAACCGTTGTATGTTCAATGTCAAAATTACGGCCCTACCTATATGAGAAATGTTTCAAGATATTAACAGATCATCACGCACTATGCTGGCTCAAAATTTGAAGTATAAAACAAGTCGCTTAGAAAGATGGACACTGTAGATTCAGGAATACAATTTTTAAATAAAACACAAATCTGGCAAAAAGCATTTGGACGCCGATTGATTTATCTAGAGAGCCCTAACCGGAAACTGAATGTGACGAGGATTATGAATGAATATTTCTGAATCAAATAATAGAGGAAAAGGATGACTTTATTGAAATGTTAAGGAGAGCCTTAGTGGAAACAAACAGTTAGTTAAACGAACTTTAAAGAAGAAAATAAATGTCTCTACAAGATAAATCTAAATTCTGGTGGTAGGGCGCGGTTGCTGATAGTGCCAAATAAGAGAAGGAGAGAAATCATGAGTAAATACCACAACTATATGCTGAATGGCCATCTGGGCGTCGCCAGAACCACATACCGAATGAAGAATAAATACTATTGGCCTTCCATGCTGAAAGATGTTTCAGAATTTGCAAAGACGTGCCATCGTTGCCAAAGTAGAAAAAGTTCAAATCAGTTGCCTGCTAGACTTTTACAGTCTATACCCCCAGCTAAGTACCTTTTTGAGAGAATCGGGATTGATTTAGTTGGTCGCTCGCTATCTACGAGAAATAAAAATAAATGAATAATTGTGCTGACGGACTATTACACCAGGTATGCAGAAACAAATGCATTCTCGGAAGCAACTCTAAAAGAAGTTTCCAAATTTTTAATCTAAGATATATTCCTGCGTCATGGGGCTCCAGAGGTTCTCATTAGCGACAGAGGTTCACAGTTTTCAAATAATTTAATGAATGAGGTGATGAAAATGTGCAAGAGAAATTATTGCTTTACAACGAGCTACCACCCCCAGACTAATGGACTAACAGAACATCTAGAATTAACATGATTATCCTGTATGTGAACATCGACCAGAAGAATTGTGATGGAATGCTTCCATTTATTACTCTTGCGTACGAAACGGCGATCCAATAAACCACGGGCTACTCTTCATTATCATTGTTGTTTGGAAGGGAAGCCGTGTCTATTTTGATTGAGGGGAATATCTCAGTAGATCCCAGCATAGATGATTATCATGAATACATAAAAATTATTTCAATAAAATAAGCAGGACGAGAAAAGTAGTTATTAACAACAGAGAGAAGACCCAAGAAAGAATGTAAAATAACTATGACAAGAAACACAAGGAGAGTAGCTATGAACCAGGAGAATTAGTGGCAGTTTGGACACAAATT